ATCCTTAGGAGAAATGTTTGTCCATTCCATATTACACCACCAATCACGTCTATAAATGTCTCTTGGCCGAGCTTAGAAGCATCTAAAACACTCATTCTATTAAGAACAACATTTGGAATACGTAGATCGTCCTCTACACACTTGATCTCCATAGTCTTGCTTGCTTTTATCTCCCAATTTGATTTATATGGTGTATATGCTGGTTTAGAGTGTTGTATACCACTGTTCCCTGAAAATATATAGACACTGCCTTGCTCAATATCATGAAAGATGCTTTGCATTCATGCCAAACCCAACAATATGTATTTTGGAACTTTATGCATCGGCAACAGCAACTGACATAACACACCCAGCTGTGCCTGTTTCAAAGAATACAAGTTTCCCTTTGTGTCTCACCTTGGCATGAAAAGACCATCGGTAGCACTGGCCCCTGATGTTCTTATATGGCATCTCAGCTTCTTAGAACTCTGTCCCTTAACATGAAACAGAGAAAAAAAATTAAAAATGTTATATACATACATACATAATGTAATTAGTTACAAACAATTTGTAACTAAATAACTAATTTGTAATGTATTTAGACAAAACTAACATTAGTAGTCGTAGTGCTTTACATTTGTGTTTATTTTTTTATAAAAGAAATATCAGAAGAAAAATCTGGGAGTGTCATATATATTTCAGTTCTTGGCTTTTCGTTTATATTGTTTCTTTATATTAACAAAGAAATATTCAAGCATGAGATTTCATAGGTGGTTATGTTAAAGGTTTTGAATATGAAAGTGTGGGAAAGCTTACTTGATTGTAAGAAGAAGTTCAGCCTTTTCTATATCATGATTTTTAAATACATATTCTGTAATTACATTAACCTTGAAGGATATGCACTCTAGTGTTCATTGGATCACCAATGAAAGGCACATTGATATTGTAAACATCTATCACTTTGGCTTCAGTTCTGTCATCTTGGACCATTACACAACTTTGCAATCTCTAGAGACAGACCAGATATTCTTCTGGCTGCTTGCTGAGCAGAACATTAAGTTGTAGTTATCTGCGCAAGTAGAGTATGTCATAATCCATGAGTTTTTTTCACGAACGTGCCTCAACAATCCACACACAGCAGGCCTGTATATTTGATTGGAGTATATGAAGCAGTGTGATCCATGCAATGCAATTATACACATCTCTTTCCAGGTATGTAATACATTAGTGGGAGAATTAGGAATGTTTGTAAACAGCTGATTTACAAACCTTCTGATGTTGAAAGGTTAGGAATATATTCAATGGAATCGTTGCCCCCATCAATGAAAGTTCCCATGTAAGTCAATGCTTGAAGTGCCTAAAAAAAGATAAACAAATCACAAACTTTAATGAGCATATCACCTCAAGTGCTGGGTTCTTTCAAATGTTCCCCTGCAAAGATCCAGTGCATTGTTCTAGACTCTAACAATTTCTGCATAAAAGCTTCAGATGCTTCAACATCAGAAATCAAAGAGTAAAGGCACAGATGTAAAGGCAAAGGTTTAATTTTTTTAAGGAATGTCAAAGTTCCTTTGTTCCATACAGTTGATCAACAAAATGCGAAGGTATAGCTACTTGGAACGTGTCTTGTCCAAGGTGAAGCTGTCCCTTTAGCGTGATGTGTTCCTTTATAGGTCCTGCATATTTACATATTTTACATATTGCTTCATCTTTAGAAGTTTGTTGCAATCTTGATCCGCAGCATAATGAACAAACTGTGTGTATAAAAACTGGACAAAGCTTATCTACTTCAAAGTATCCAGGTATCTGCAAAACAACGTGTATTTAATATGGGCTTGTTTCATTTCCTTTCGCACTTACCCCTGTGCATTCCCTTGCAATATTCCGAAAAAGTCCCAGCTACGCTGGGAGCATAGTGCATTGTATACATTGTACATTGTATACATAGAATATTGCATTCCCTTGCAATATTCCGAAAAACAGAGTCAAGGAATTATTTTGGCATCATCTATTATACATGAAACAATGCTCATGCCTGTGACATTTGCTCTCTTGAAATAACCGTCTCCTTGTAAATTAATGAAACATCTTGTTGGTGGAGTTCCAGAAAAACATTCATTCATCAACTCTTTGAATAATTCCATTATGTTGCCATGGAATTTGAGCTGCCATCATATAGATTATTGTCAGGGATCCACATGCTATATTGAACTTACTATATCATATCAGACTCGTTGATGTTATCTGTTATTGTGAGTTGACCACTGTTGTAGCCTATATCATTGATACTCACTACAACACCTTCAACAGAACCTACAGAGTCTCGGCCTCTACATGACTCCACAAAGTTTGCAATGCTGATAGTTGGTACAGACAGACGAAATTGTGGCACTATAAGCTATTACCTAAAAGCTTACGTTTTCTTCCTAGCATAATAGATGCTCATCATTGTGGTGGGTCAATAAAAAGAGGAGATGCACTGGGCCTGGGTTGGAACTCAAGTCATCATGTTGTTTCGCATTTCTCTAGCATGACTCCACATTCAAATATATATAGCCACAGATACCACCTACTCAAAAATAAACTGGAGATAACCATAAAGGAAGTGCATAGAAAGAAAAATAGGCAGCTAGCCTCTTCCCACTCTTTCATGCACTGTGGTCCATGCACTGTGTGCGAGTGGAATCCCGAATGGGACAGCCTTTTGCCCGATGAGCAGGCCAGGCTCAAGGCTCGGCAGGGCGTGAAATACGTTTGCCTCGATGGCTTACAGGTGCTCAACTCCGAGCTAGCAAGCAAAAAAATTTAGCAGAAGCAGCGAGCGAGTAAGGAGTGACGAAGAACCAAATAAATAAGACAAATACATTATCAGAGATGAAACTCTAGAACCGGTTGCCAAGGACAGTGTCACCATTGGCGAAGTTTGCATACGTGGGAACATGGTGTTCAAGGGATACTTGAACAATCCAGACTCTGGGGACTTGGCAGTTTGGCATCCCAATGGATACATCAAGATCAAGGATCGAGCCAAGGATATTATCATTTCTGGAGGGGAGAACATTAGCAGCCTGGAAGTGGAGAGCATCTTGTACAGGTAAAAGGAGAGTTTTTCCTTCTTTGTTTCTTGTTAAAGTTTGCTTCTTTTTCATCCAGGCATCCAGCAGTGTTGGAAGCTGCTGTGGTGGCGCAGCCAGATGAGCAGTGGTCCATGTGCGTTTGTGTCCCTCAAGCACAGCGTGAGTCTCCATGTGCGTTTGTGTCCCTCAAGCACGGCGTGAGAAGCAACAAGGAGGAGATACTCTTGTTGTATCGACAGCATTTACCGAAGTTCATGGTGCCAAAGAGCATCGTCATTCTCACAGCCTTGGACAAAACTGCGACTGGCAAGATCCAAAAACAGGTGCTGTGCAGCAAAGCAAGAGCTCTTGGCAGTGTCAAGTAAATCAGCAAGCTCTACAAGCCAACTATTGAACTTGTAAAGCTTGAAATCGTTCATGGCCTGGAAAATCCCCAATCTAGCCTGGCAATTTTAAATCGGTCAGCTACTGTCCGTCCGTTGTAATGTACTGGAATGAAAAATAAATAAATAACATGCAAGAACCAAGAATGCAATTCATCTACCTCAAACAGTAGCTTTGTCTTATCAGCTGTCACTCTTGCATATCCAAATACCGACCTTCGAATCAAGCTCCATGAACTAAACTGTCGACAAAAAAAATAGAAAAGGTAGAATATCAATACCATATAAAGAGCTTGAATATAGGAAACAAAGCTGCAAGCTTACATTATGAGGGAAGTCATCCAAGGTGAATTCAGCCATGCCAACCACGGTGTGAACTGGAGCTGAGTAAATTGTAGTGTCAAAGAAATCGACACCTGCTAAATCCTTGATCGGGTGCTGCAGGCAGCGCCCTGAAACACAGCACAAGTTCGCAGGTAATTGTGAACATGCCCCCACACTGCTAAATCAACCTGTGCAAAAAAAAAAAAGAAAAAAGAAAAAAGACAGTTTCATTCTAGTTTTCCCTTTGAAGAGCTCGTGTTTTACCTTGTTTCTCAAGAGCAATGGTTCCACAGCTGCTACAAATTTCGGATCCACACCTGGTAAAGTTTAGAAATAAATCCCCCGCAGTTGAGTGGAGTACATAGGTCGATGACTGAAAGAAAAATAGCACACATGAGTTTACAGAATGAAAATGTGAATAAAAACAGTTACCCTGTGAAAACTATCCATGGTGTACTGAATCTGCCGACAGATTCAAGGTCAGATTTCATCCAAGCGTACTGTAGAAGAAGGTTTCGTTGAAGGAAAGATGAAAAGAATAAGAATGCATACTTGTTCGCTGGTCGAGCTCCAGTCGTGTTCTGTAGAGATGACTGTGAAATGCATGGGGCCAATAGCCATGGAGCCGTGGAGCTGTGGCTGTCCCGAGGAGAAGTACAGGGACGAAAATTTCTTTTTTTTCTCTTGGTTCCAGCCTCGAGCACCTGGCACAAACATGAACTTTAAGCCTCGAAAGAGAATAGCAAAAAGCAAGAGAGTGAA